TGAACATTGAAGCAGCGCATATTAACGTTTCTTGAGATAAATATATAGTCTCCTAATCAGATGAAGCCTGGGCAGGCAGAGATCTAAACCCAAGATTTATTTCAGAGCATAACTTTTGATTCTGCGTTTTATTCTTTTTAAAATTACATTGTAATTCAGGAGAGCTGTTTTCTGAAGGCGTTTAGTGAGAAAGGTAATCATCGTGTGAGTCAAGGATTTTCTTGTGTTGTCGTCCTCTTCCCCCTGGAAGACGTGATAATATCAGTCCTCAGCCATGATGTGAACATCACACATCCTGTTTTGGTGCTAACAGATTGTCTTTAGCCTTTTCCAAGCAGTGTCAGCTACACATGTCAGTTGCTTATCACTTTTGTTTTTTCGGTTATTTATCCTTAAAAAAGAATGTTAGTAAGTCAGAAATAGCCATTTTGTAAAAACTGCATAGCTAGACAGATCTTTGGTCCTTATTAGGGTAATAATCCATCTGTTATGGAACTGGATCAATTTGTAAATTAAATTGATTAATCTAGCAGCGAAAAAGAAAGGTCTTGACTTTTCCCACAGGAAGCATTTCCTCAAATGGTAGTCATTCTAAAAAAATCTGGGAAGACTCAATTTTCTGCTATTCTTTTTCTCTTTGCTCAACTCAGCAAAAAGGCTTAATATGTATCCAAAAAAGAGTGAAAGTAGAATTCAAGCTTTTAGATTCTCTAGGGTCTGGTTGTTCCTGGAGGTCTCATATTTTTGACAGGGTTTAATGTTAAAAACCTTTCAATGACTATAAGAACATTTTTAATACTCATTGGTTAGTTTAGTAAATGTATAACTATGCTTGAGTTATCTTCTGCAATTAGTTCACTTTATTGTTATTTTCATCTTGTTATGATCAAAAAAAAAAAAATCTCCCGGTGATTCTCCTAAGAATGTGTGAATGGAATAATAACTTCACATGTTGAAGAGTTTTGTGCTGCAGCTGAGAGGCATGTAAATACAAGCTGCTCGTTTACAAGAAGCTTCCAGATTTGCAATATGATTGCTATGGAAACCACATAATGAAAACCTTATAACCATCTGTATGGTTTGATGGATTTTATTGCATAGCTGAGCTGTTTTTGTTTACTGTTATTAAAATGTTGAATGGAATATATTAACCCACACATATTGACTATTTGAGGTGTTAATTAGTATCATATAATGACATCATGCCTCAACCCCCAAATAAAATATGTTTAACAATAAACCTAAATAAAACAACATCTGTATGTTTCTAATATATTGTGAAGGTGATTATTGCCTAGAATTTTGGTCACTTGTCCTTATATATTTTTTGAATGATGTGGAGAGGTTTGCTCTGTTAGTAAATGAATATAATAGTAGGATTTATTTTCATGATTTTGGAATCCGTTTGTTCACTTAGTATTTATTGAACATCTCCCTTGTACCAGAGTCTATTCAAGATTCAGGTTGAGTTCTTTTCTTCCTAAGATTAAAAAAACACACACCAGATTTGATTTTGTTGTCTTTTATATGGAAGCTGTTTGTACTGTTAGCCCAAGATAAAATGGGTTGTTTTACTGTTAAGAAAAATTGATATTTGAAACACAGAAGGCTTTGACCTAAAGATAGAAGTTCTAGGTTTGCAAAGGACAAAGGAAGTGTTTTTAATGAGCATCTTATCCTCTAAAATACTTCTTATTAAGCATCTCACATGGATTTCAATTTGGATACTTCACAGTAAATATTTTTAATATTCTGATAGCTTAAGAATACATTGTGCATATAATAGGTACTTAAATTTTAATAAAATAATAAATTCTTAGTAATAAATTCTAAATTCATTGACAACTTTGCCAAGAATGGAGTTTTTCCCACTTAATTCTTGTAATTATTATTATTTTTTTTTTGCGGTACGTGGGCCTCTCACTGTTGTGGCCTCTCCCGTTGCGGAGCACAGGCTCTGGACGCGCAGGCCCAGCGGCCATGGCTCACGGGCCCAGCCGCTCCGCGGCGTGTGGGATCTTCCCGGACCGGGGCACGAACCCATGTCCCCTGCATCGGCAGGCGGACTCTCAACCACTGCGCCACCAGGGAAGCCCCTCTTGTAATTATTAATAGTTTTTATGATATCTTGACACTGACTTTGGGTGGTGAGAGTAAATCCCATAGTGTCTTCTTAAGAGCCAGGAATAGTGCTTTCTGTATTAATGTGGTTAAAGCTTTTGACTTCAGGACAAGTGCCCTTAACTGTTTTTGAATTTACTTCTTACTATTGAATTTGTGACCAAATTGGAAGAGAGGGAGTGCTGGGGAAAGAGAAAGTATGAAAAGTAAAGAAAGCTCTCTCCTTCACCTCAAAAGAAATTAATGATTTGTAAAACGAGTAGCTTGGACTAATGATGGTAAATGTCCCTAATACCTTTAAAATCTGTATGAAAACACCCTATTGATCCATTTATGATAACTAGTCCTTGAGGTTTAACATAAGTGAGATAATTGTTGAAGAGGAAAGAGACAGCATTTAGTATTAGACTTTTTATTAGGTCTTCTATGTATTCTTTACTATTTGACTGAACTATATTAAATCGCCAATATTATGTTTAACTTAATGTGTGTAAAGTGCCAATGATTTCCAGCTGTTCCTTATATTGGAGCTTTCATTCTTTTGTTTGAATTGAGTTACAAAAATTTGAAACAGTTATAATTATCTTGTAAGTACAGTAACTCTCAAGCTTGATTTAAATGCTGGTTTTTATTAATCACCACTTTAAAATTTGCATGAGACTTCTAAATTTACACCTGCATTCTTGACCTGTCTACCAAGCTTTCCAGTTGCCCCTGGACATTTCCTCTGGGTTGCCCCACCAGTATATTAAATCTCCCATATCAGAAACACAACCCCTTGAGTAGCTTATCTTGGCTATTATCTTTTTAGTAATGATGTTCCCATTTCTCAGTTAACTAAGATCAAAACCTGAGTCATCCTTGGTTGCTCATTCTTTTCCCGTAGCCCTCCACATCCAGTCAGGCAGAGTTTGTCTATTCTAGTTCCTTTCCCTCTCATAACCATCTCTGTTCCATTTCCTCTGCCCCTTCAGTTCAGGACTGACTTCCCCTTTAGCTAGACTAGGAGTGGTCTCTCTCCCCACACCCCTCATCTAGGCTGTCTGGGACAATGGGATGTGAAAGCCATTCCTCAAGCAGTTTCAGTCCTGCTCTTTCTCGCCTCAGAAATTTTGGGGGACTCTTATTCCTCACCAAACATGTAAAAGTCTGAAGTCTACAGCAGGATGTTCACGGCTCTTCAACAGTTTGCCCAAATGACTAGCATTATCTCCCATCCTGCTCTTATTCTACAAGAACAGCCCCCGCCTTTATTATTATTATTTTTTTGATAAAAATGGACCATTTTTTAAGTCTTTATTGAATTCATTACAATATTGCTTCTGGTTTTTTTCTATGTTTTGGTTTTTTGGCTGTGAGGCATGTGGGATCTTAGCTCTCCGACCAGGGATTGAACCAGCACCCCCTGCATTGGAAGGCGAAGTTTTAACCACTGGACCGCCAGGGAAGTCCCAAGAGAACCACATTCTTTAGCCAAAATGAATATGCTCATGCCTTGTTCTTTTGTTCATGCCTTCCCTTGTCTGGAAATTTCCTCCTTCCCATCTCTCCTTATTCAGATTCTCTCCATCCCTCAGAGCCTTTATGGTATTGCCCCAGATGGGTGGTTTCTCCTCTGCACTCCTTCAGTACCTTGTACCTCACAGGTCAGGTTTTATGCCCCTTATCCCACTTTCCTTTAGGTTCTGTCTTCTGTCCCCTCTAGGCTGTAACTTCCTGAAGGCAGAAGCTTCCTACTACCCTTGCCTTTCTGGTAGAACCTCTCTCTCTTACAGGTAGTTAATGCTCAATGAAGATTCATGAGTTGAATTATTTAATAGTCATAATGACTGTATTTGTTTCTTTTGCATATTTTTCTTTAAAGTTTTTGATTTTCTTGGAATTACGATTCTTTTTGATCCCAGTTTTTTCTTGACATGCCATTTTGTTCGTATGTCCTGCCTTAAATATTTCTAAATTGTATATTAATCCTTAGGTGGGGCAAATGGTCATGTAGTAAGTATTTCTTTGATGTAAAAGGATTAACTAGCCTATTGACTCTGTTTAAAAACCCTTCTTATTTAATCTCATCATTTTTCTTCCCATAACTTGGGAAAGGAGTGTGATGGGAGAGTGTAGAAATAGCATGCAGATATATATGAACATATGCAGGATAAAGAACATGGATTTTGTAATCATAAACCTAAGTTTGAATAGCAAACATTGGAAGTTTCTTTATCTTTTTGAGTCTCAGTTTATTTCTCTGTAAAATGAGGATTTAAAATGGTTTACCTATGAAGTCTTAACATCTGCTGTAGTGTATGACACATAGTAGTTCCTCAGTGTAATTTGGGGGGTCTTACCTTGAAGGGTGAGGATGCTTCTAGTATCTTCCTGTGATGATCAATTGAGAAAACATGAAGTATCTGATGCTCAGTAAATGACTTCTAGGTTAACTGTATTTTCTATCACACATTTTCTCTTTGCTCTGCTGTTGTTTCAGGGACCATGATTTTATCTGTGGTACTCATGCCACAGTATAATGTGGTCAAGCCGTATAATGCCGGGTGTCATCTTACTGCATTTTTAGGGCTTTTCGGGATTTAAGGTTATTCCAGATGAGTTTCTGTGAATATTTAAAACAAAATACGTGAAACGTTAGTACATACCTTAAATTTTATCAAGCCAACTGGTCAAGTTGCTATTTGGAAATAGCTAGAGGTTTCTTTGTTCAGCTTTAGATTATTGAAAAGGGGATGTGAATGTTGAGTGGCTTCATTCTTTGAAAAGGAATATTTATGTGTTATACACTTTTAGTTTTGCTCTTAAGATGGGGTGAGTACTGTGTCTTTCTCCCTGAGGAAAGCCTTCAGTGTCCCATTTATGTTGTTTATTTACAGAAGAGGAAGAGAATGGAGCTCCGCTGAAAGTGGAGGGGCAAAGGAAGATGAGTCAGGACAGTGTTCACCACACCACAGGTAATGAGTTGTGCAGCTTTCTGGGAAAGCTTATATTGGTTTTGTTCACTTTCCTTTTCGTCACTTTCTTACTGCTCTAAAGATGTGTCCTCAGCTCCCCGAGGTTGTCTCCTTGGGTCTGGACCTCTTATGGCTGATAAGCTTCTTAGACCCATTTAGGATGCATGAAAACCACTTGAGAAGGATTTATAAAGTAAGCCAATTTATACAAGGTATTCCTTTCTGAATTACTTTGTAATGACTCAATTAGCTTTCATTTCTGCGCAAAGGAGATTTAGTTGCATAAATTAGCTTATCATCATTGAGGAAGTGTCACTGCTAAAGGACAGTTTATAGATACAACATGCAGTTGCTGTCAAACCTATAAGAATGTAATATAGACATCTGTGTATACTTTGTGCTTGAGCAGAACAGACTTCTGCCATTCAGAGACTAACAGGGGACAACAAGGTGCCCAGGGGACTGGCAATGTAGACATCTCTGAAAAGGTCGACTTGACACAGGCTCTGACAATCGACCCACAGCTCTGTCTTCTTTGATAAAAATCAGATAAACTTAAGACCGCTAATTGATCTGCAGCCTGTTTAAATGTTGGCCATGCATGTCTTCATTGCATATGATTAACACAGAAAGCAAATGAATTGGGCAAGAAATGCCAGAGTCCAGTGACAGCAGCTTAAAAATGGGAAAAGGACAGTGGTGGCCTGGAAGGCTAGGAAGGATATTCCCCTTATCCCTCTCCACTTGGCACGTGGCCCCAGGTACTAATTATGACTAAGACTGGAAAAATAATTGCACGTGCTGTGTACGGAATCACATGATAAAGACAACTTCTCTTGCTTCTTGTTATTTCCAAATAGCAGGAGATAAACCGTATCTGTAGTGCAAGCATGAGGTTAGTTTTGATAAACCAGCAATTATTTTACACAGAAAGAAGAGAAGGACTGCCTTCTTATCAGGACTTTACACCTCTTCATAGCCACATGTCAGCTGGGGCAAGGTCTGCCATATCATCCCATGTTCTGCAAAGAGCTATAGTTAGGGGTCACCTCCCCTCTCTGATATGTCCATACATCACTCTTTCAAGCTGTCAGGGGCAGGGTGGTCAAGCAGTGTGTGTTCAGGAAGTAGGCTTCCCGAGTCCTTCCTACTGTGGCATGTAGAAAGGAAACAGAGGCCTGATTTCCGGACCTGGACAGGAAAGCAGGAGCAGGTTGCTGCAAAAGGTTTGGGTTTGCTTTTTTCAGAAGGGAAGTGAGGAACAAGTCATTAGATGCAGCTATAAACACCAAGGCTGAGCAAAGCCTTGAGGACAATGTTCACTGGCAGTTTTAAGTACATACGTTTTGTTATTATCATAAAGCTTCTGCCAAAAGCATGTTGTTTTCTTTTTTTTTTAATTTCTGTGCCGGTATAGAAGGTGGACACATACAAATCTTCTTTCCACAAATATGAGTGTTTTGGCCTAAAACAATTGTGTTTTTCCAAAACCCTTTTAAAGTAACTATCTCCCAAATTTTTGCCTTTGAGGGAAGGAAGAACAAATCAGTTTTTCCTCAAAGGAATGCAATAAGGGGATCTACCTTTTCATGCAATTGCTATAAAGCACTGCAATAATTCTTATCTTTAGTGACGTGAAGTTCTTTTCAAGCAACAGTTTTAATGCTTTTGCATACCAGTGACCTTTGCTCTCCCCAGGCTGTCAAAGATGTAACATTAGAAGTTTGTTTGCTGTGCAGGGCAGTGAGTTGACAAGGGTATTACTGTCTCGCTGAGTTTCACATGATGTGAACTTCTAACCTTACTCAAGAATGCTATATTTTTCACGTTGACTGATTTTACTAAAGGAAAAATTCTTTTTTCAGACTACTCTAATGTAAAATATATAAGCAGAAACAAAATTAAGCATGTATTTCTTACAAGTTATTTCATGTTTAAGCTTACGTAGCTTGCATATAAAAAATAAAGATTCCATTTGATTTTCTTGAACATTATACAATATGCTTACATTTCTAAAATAGTTTTTACACCTATAACATTACCCAAGGAGAGATTCTCCATTATCTTATTATTGTGTTTTACCCATTGTCATCATGTTTTAAAAATCTTTTCATTTTTGCAAAAGTCAATATCTCCAATGTTTAGCTTGTACTTTCATAACAATTCTGTTTTTCTTGCTCAGTGATCTGTTTTTGCATGTTTAACTTACAAGAGCAAATACATTGTTTAAATCTTTCACAAGCCAGCTAATTTAGAATGTTATTTTCTTTGTTTCTTTACCTTCTTTTTTAACCATGTATGCTTCTTAGGACAAGAAACATAATGAGATGATTTTTTTTTGATAATTTTGAAAACATGGATCACGGTGTGGATAGAATAGGAAAATTAATTCATATAATAAAGACAACTAAACCGATTTAATTTGTATTCAGAATGTAAGCTTATTGGTGGTTTATGACATTATGCTCCATCCCATTTTTTTGTTGTTGTTGTTTTTAAAAAACACATCTCACAGGGATTATTTTTTCAGTGTATAAATGAACAGTGTTAACTTCTGTGAACCCACAGTGCTTCCAAGGATATCGATGCATATTTTTTTGTGTATGTTTAGACACACTTAAAATTTAGAAAAGTAAACCAGAGGAGGTTACTGCTCTCTGAGGAACAAGATAATTCTTAATTTTTATGTCTGGAATTCATTTTAAGAATTTTGACATTACTTTCCGAAGGAGACTAAGGCTAATGAACATAGACTGCCAGGTTTTCTCCCCCGTTGTGATTCTTCTACATCAGGGGTCTCTAACCCCCGGGGCCGCGGACCGGTACCGGTCCGCAGCTTGTTAGGAACCGGGCCGCACAGCAGGAGGTGAGCGGTGGGCGAGCGAGCTAAGCTTCATGTGCCCCTCCCCATCGCTCGCGTTACTGCCTGAACCATTCCCACGATCCCCCCCACCCCGCGCTCCACCACCCCCCGTCCGTGGAAAAATTGTCCTCCATGAAACCGGTCCCTGGTGCCAAAAAGGTTGGGGACCGCTGTTCTACATCATAACTAATATTGCATGGTGAAATAGAATAGTCAATTTGTGTGTACAGGTAGGTAGCCATGTGACATAAACAACTTACTATTCTTTAACAGGGCTCACATATGGGACACAGGAATGAGGTTGGTCTTTGGGTAACATCATCATCAAGACTGCAGAAAGCACAGTAGAAAATGCATCTTGTTCCCAGGACTGCCAGATCACTAGCTCTGTTGACTTTTTACAGCAGTGAGATTTAATGAAATGCCCATGATGCACATCTAGGGAGAGATGCATCTTGCACACGGTTGGGGTCTCTCTTCCCCTCCTGTGCTCCTGTAACTCCCATTAGTGTTAATGGGAGTTTCACTAAGTGCATCGAGGGGAGGAGAGACCCCCAAAGTGATATGGATTATGTGTTAGAAATCACCATATACTTTCCTCTTCCTTGTTCCCTCTCCCCTGCGTTTGAAAATCTACTGAGTGAAAAACTATTGTGAGAGAATCTGAAAAAGAAAAGAGTAAGCAGTAGGCTGAACAGCTACAGAACCCACTGGGATGCTTCAGCTAAGCCAAAACTTCTCTAGTTTTTAACCCAGGTTTTCTTTCTTCAGCCTTTTAGGATCAAGCCTAAGGCTGAGCAGCATGGGGAACACACAGGAGCCTCGACTGGGGAAACCAGCTATTTAGATCCTTTTACCTCCTGGCCAGTGACTATGGGGGAGGGCCTTGCGTGTGAAATGATGTCATCCTCTCTTTGCTCTAATTCCTTGACTTTTAAACTGACACTGACGGACTGCATGGGGCACAACATTTGACCCAGTTAGCAGTTGATTTAATCTGACTAGAATGTTTCAACTTCTAAATCCCTATTTGTCTAAATAAGTGGTTTTTAAAGGAAATCATTCACTTCATTATTAAGTAATTTTTTTCTTAGAAAAATTTGACAATGTTTGGAGAAATCTGTCCAGCCAGAGTGCCCTCTAGTGTCCATTCATAGAATTTCCATAATATATGCTTTGAGGGGAAAATGTAATGAAGGGTGGCCACAAGCATTGTTAGTTCTTGGTTGGATTCCCAGGCTTGTGTACATCCCTGCTAGCTTCTGTGATGAGTGTTCAAATGCTACAGCGGAAAAGTCAATAAGGTGTCTGTCTCTCTGTCTCCCTCCCTCCTTCTATCCTTCCTTTCCCCCGTCCCCCCTCTTTTTTTGAGTTCTTAGAAAACAAGCGGAAAAACTTTAATAGGAGGATTGTCCTTGTTTATTTTCTTAAAAGTATAATGGAAAAGTCACGTCTTCTTAAATAGTCAGACTCCATATTATTCAGATTTTCTTTTTGGCTTTAAAAAAATGTTTCAGATACTAAAGAGAATTTTTTAAATTTCTAATAAACCTAACACTTTGAGTAAATCACAAGCTATGTGTAATAAGATGAACGCCCTCCTGACACGCTAATGTGACCGGTTGTGTTAGACTTGCCAAGGAGCCTGCTGTTTGAGAGCCATATAACAAAACTAAGATGACAACCCTGATCCAGCATGTGTCTCCACAGTTATCCCCTCAGAATTCAAAGATGACATTCCAATGATGGAAGTTGTCAGCACGTGTATGTTCTGCCTGGTTAGTGAATACAGGGACATCTTATTGATATTGCTTGCATTCTTTTTGCATTAACTCATCAAAACTCAATTATCATGAAATTAAAAACAGGAAACAGTTCTCAGTGTAACAAAAGCAGCCAGTGTATTTAACTCTGTGCTGTGTTTCAGGCGACCCACATTGTATAAGTGACAAAGCATTTATTACCCGGTTTATTGTGGTATTATAGAGCGGAGAGCGCTAAATAATCAATCAGTTAATGGTCTGTATGGCAGTTTGAACACATCACATCCATTGTGCTTATGCTGTTAGAAGGATGAGCTGATAACTGCAGTGTATGTTGCATGTTTATTCAGAGCCTAATGTCCTAAACTAGGGCTGACAGAAATCTTGGAAAATGCAGCTTTAGCACTGGCAGTTTCAAAGTTGCTAAAATATTTTAGAAATAACTTTGAGAGGCTTTGGGTACAAAAGTCCCTAAAGATAAGAGCTGGAATTATCCTTTAGATTACTTTCATTTTATTCTCTTCCTTTAACCAGCTTTATGTTTTGAAAAAGTTTAAATTTAGGGACTTCCCTGGCGGTCCATGGGTTAAGACTTCGCCTTCCAATGCAGGGGGTGCAGGTTTGATCCCTGGTCCGGGGAGCTAAGATCCCACATGCCTCGTGACCAGAAAAACAAAACATAAAAAAAGCAGAAGCAAATTGTAACAAATTCAATAAAGACTATAAAAATGATCCATATCAAAAAAATATATATATGCCATTGATGCTTTTTTTTTTTTTTAAGTTTAAATTTCAAAAAGTTTTTTTGTTACCTCGTTTGGTTATATTTGTACCTTAGCTCCTTTATTATTATTATTTTTATGATGTGTCCTAAATTCTGTACGGTGCTTATTTCACAATGTGTTTATCACATCACATGGATATTGCTCATTATACAGGGAGGCTGACTCATCTTCAAAACATGTTGCAGGTGGGCTTAGGTTTGTTATAGAAAATAAGTGGGAAGTAACTTAGGTGCTGGTTTGAAGAAACATGTTGCAATTACAAGTTTTAGGTAAAAAGAAAAGGAGAGAGGAAAGAAAAGACATTCAAAATTAGATCTTTTTGAAAATGGTCCTTAATTAGATGAGAGCAAGAAGTAGGATTCTTGTGTGGATGTTATAAAGTGTTCTTTGAATGAGGACAGAATTTTTTTTGACTGTTTTTTGGTGGTTTGGAGTGGCCCTTTAATTGCTATTTGTTCATTTTTAAGTGAGGGCCCATTACATGAAAGCTCTAACTCTTTTCTCTTTCTTCTTCCTAGGAGATAAAAGCACCGATTATGCTAATTTTTACCAGGGTTTGTGGGACTGCACAGGAGCTCTTTCTGATGAATTGTCATTTAAACGTGGTGATGTGATTTACATTCTTAGCAAGGTAAGCAGATACCCCAAAATGACAACTGTAAAGCATGAATACGAAGCTGCATTTTTATGCATTTGGATCTACAACACTAGGGGAAAAATGCCAATTGGAATTCTTCTAGGTCCTTGTTAACAATTGGGAGTTCACAATAATTATTTTGTCAAGTGAAATATAATCAAATTTTAAACACAATCAGATAACAGGATTCAACTTAACAGTGTGTTTACCTATCACTTCAGCCTTTGGCTCACATCCACACACTGCCTTCTCCAGAAACAATATACTTATGTGAAAGTTAACATTGTAAGGTATTAGGTTATTTATTATGTTTTTCTTTCCTCTTCCTTTTTATTCTTCTGTGTGCTTATTCTGATTTTGTCTGCCATTCACTACTGGTAACACTGTGTTTATAGAACAAGTTTTTCATCTTTATGTAAATACATCGGGTGTTCCGGCAATTTAAAAGCAATACTTTTCTATTCAGACAGGTTTAGGTATTTTTTTTTAAGTTTAACATAATTGTATTTGTAAACATAATAGCAAAGTATATTGCTATGAACTCATCCTTAGATATACAAAATCATTGTTTCTGCCTCTTAAGATACTGGATTATTCAAAATGCTTCTGGCCTTGAATCTAAAAGTCAAGATTCTTAATTGATTATACTTCTAATGACATGCATGAGCTCCTTTAACTTTCATATTTTAACTTTGCCTACTGTAATATGGGCGTTAAAAAATATCTCCCTCAGTCTACTTCATGAGGCCACATTAGAAACAAATGATGTATGGAGACTATTTAAGTATAAGTAAAGAAATGTTACATAAATCATAAGTCTAGGAGTTTAATGTGCTTTGTTGATTAGAGAGATATTTTGGAAAGATTATGACTTATTCAGAAAGATGATATGACTTATTAGATACAGAAGAGAATTTGGAAATAAGGTCACTTAATTGAATTTAAACACTAGTTGACTGGTACATAAAATCATATACAGAAAATCATAGAACATTGGAGTGAGAGATCTTAGGGCTCATCTGTCTATCCTTGGTTTTACAGATAAGGGAATTTGGGTCAAGAAAGTGCCAGAGCCAGTACTTAACAAGGTGTTTTGACTCCCAGATCAGAGCTTTCTGCTCTATTTTTTTCTTATGCCTGTATCTATCTTCCTTCCTTTTTCCCTCTCTTCTTCCCCCCTCCCCCTTCTTTCCTTACTTGTATTTAATTTGTAACTGTCGTAAAGTGCCTAAAATGTGCAGGGGCCCATTCTAGGCACCAGGAATCCAAAAAAAGAGAGAGATAAGCCCTTGTAGATTGGAGGAAAATAGTAAGTAAATACAGCCAACTGTGATCATTGCTGGTTGAGGTGCCCAAATAAGACTTGTCCCTTATTTCTCAGTCCTCTGCTCGCTAGTGTATTTTTTTTTTTTTTTTTTTTTTTAAGAAAGATACTTTCAGTTCTTGGAAGCTATAGATAGCCATATCACAACTCTTGGATTAAGCCTGTTACAGAGCATTCAATAGTCCTGTGTTAAAATGACAGCTTTTTGAGTCAGTTACTTAATATAGAAAACAAACTGATTAGTTTCAGTTCTTGAAAAGAAACTTTCTTGGAATCATTCCTCAAATTTACTTAGCTCACAGTTTCTTTCACCAGTTTAGCTGCATAAAATTAAATTGTGTGTAAAATTGCATATAAAATTAAAAGGTTGATTAGCTTCCACTTGGAACTTCAGACTATAGGGATAAATGGCATGTAGCCAGTATGTTTGTATGGTAAAATATGAAACTTACGAAGCCCATGTGGGTTTGTTCTTGAAACCTTCTTTATGCATCAAGTTGTCTTTGTTTTTTTGTTTTTTTCAAGTTGTCTTTGTTGCTGAAAGCCTCAGAGTACCAGCCTCTGGGACAGGCTGTGGTGCAAGCAGCGTTCCCATAGGCTTGTCTTATTTCTGCCATTGCCTCAGAAAATCATTTTCTGTGAATATGAAATTGAAAGTACAATCATAGGTGTGTATCATATTTCTAGGATTCTGGGGGAAGTCATTCCTTTTCTCCGAAACCTGTTTTGTGGTGACTGTAATTTTATATGTGAAGCCTGTTGTAGAGCTAAGGGTGGTAATCCACCTCATAGGAAGAATATACTCCTATCTAAAATGTGTAAATGCTGTTATTTGGGTATGGGCTGCCTGAAAATACTTCCTTTATCAACCTTTCACAAGGTTTAAATTTCCACCGGCAGCATTTCATGAGAGGCCTTCTAGAGATGGGCATTTTATCTGGAGCTCATTTTGGTTTTTAAAAGAAGAGAGAAGGCTTTGTTAGCACATTATCACCATTGGCTGGATGAGTAAATACCCATATTTACCCAGCTGCGGACCTAGTAGAATCAACCAGGCTGATCTTAGTGAGGGTGAAAGAAAGACAGTTAGTTTTCTCTTGATGGAATTTGGACAAATTCTGGGCCGTTGATGAGCATCTTGGCTATTTGTTGTCAGGTTGCTTTGGGAGTCAGGATATATTTATGAAGACTCTTACTTCCCCCCTTGGCTTTGGGTGAGTTCAGATAGGAACCTCTGGTGATTCTTTAATTTTATATTTGCTTGGTCTTACAGTTTTTATAAAAATGTTGGCAAACATAGATCATAAGTTAATATCATACATTTATTTAATATGTGAATGATGACAGCAGTTTGAATGATGAGTATCATTGTAAATTCAGAACTCAAGGCCCTTAGAAGAAGAGAGCAAAGAATTGCTCAAAAGGACTTGTTTCTAGATCAAGGTAGAGCTGATGCTATGTATTGATTGTTTTTTTTTAAGTGCAATAAATATAGAAATCACTAGCTTTGTTATATGCCTAGAAATTTGTTTAATCTTTCTCAGAGTTATATTTAGATTCCATGGTGATGGAATGAAAATTTACCGTTTAAATTTATTTTTTACGCCATCTAGTGGCTCAGAATGAGTGGTGCAGGTAATTGCAGCTAATGTGCACAATCAAAATGATGTCATAAATCCAACTTTAAATTTAGCTATGGGTTATTACTTTCCTATCTCATGTCAATGAAGTATAGCATTAATCGCGAAAATTCTTTTCATCATTCTGAATTAAATGTAAAAATTGTATACTTAAGGAAAAATGCATTTTAAGGAGTCTAACAGTATTTATAGAGACATAAAAAATGTGTACTTAGTAAAAAAAAAAAATTAGTGCCACAACTTTTCTAATAAAAAATGCCATTTAAAAGATTTCAAAGAAACACAACTTGCTTTTTATAATTAACTGATCTATAGTTTGCAGTATTTAATTATTGTTGATTTGACTTACCTTCTAGAAGCTTGTTAGTTCTGAAAATAATCTTTTAAAAAAAGGCAACACAAGATAGTTTAAGAAGAGATACATTCTTTTCAATATAAATAAACCTTTAGACAAATCAAGAAATAAAATGGCACGTACTATAATAAAGAATATTTTAATTTTGTAAATATAATGACAAAAAGATTTAGCTAGTTTGATGATTAGGCTCTCTGTATTAAAATTCACTATAGAAATATAGTTTGATTTTAAAATTCAGTCTTTTTTTTCTGTTTTTGCAAGGAAGCCTTGATAGGGTGTCAGCTGTGCTCAGTCTGCCTGGGGGTGATTTATTTATTTTAAGCCTCTTTTGAGTTATACAGATCTTAGCTTTTCTTTCTTTCTTTACTTTTTTCTTTTCTTTTTTTTTTTTTTTAGTGAAAATCAAATGTTACAATAAAGAAGGAAGAGAAGGCAGCTACCCTGCCCTTCCCCTTCCCTTTTTAACATTTTCCAATTAGCAGCTGCCATGTGACCCCTGGCTGAGCTAGCCCCTCCTTCAAAGTGTCTGGCATTTTCTTAGTTTTAACCTTTGAACCTTACTAATAATAAATCTAAATACTACTTGCCTAAAAATGCAAGCCTGTAACTTTTTGCTTACAGGTCTTTTCATATAACATTGCTGCTGTTTTCTTATGTGTTAAAACATTTTATATACTTCAATAGTTCAGTGGAGATTTAGAAATTCCGCCCCCCCACCCAAAGATGGAAGGTATTTATAGGAATGGATGAAAATGAAATATGTGATTTTTTTTTTTTAAGCAAGGTACAATTACCTTTTTTTTTTTTTAATTTCTTTTTGGCTGCGTTGGGTCTTCATTGCCGCACAGGGACTTTCTCTAGTTGTGGACAGCAGGAGCTACTCTTCATTGTGGTGCACGGGCTTCTCATTGCAGGGGCTTCTCTTGTGGCGGAGCATGGGCTCTAGGGGTGCGGGCTTCAGTAGTTGTGGCATGCAGGCTCAGTAGTTGTGGCACGTGGGCTCTAGAGCACAGGCTCAGTAGCTGTGGTGCATGGGCTTAGTTGCTCCATGGCATGTGGGATCTTCCCGGACCAGGGCTCGAACCTGAGTCCCCTGCATTGACAGGCGGATTCTTAACCACTGCGCCACCAGGGAGGTCTCCAGGAATATGTGATTTTTATGACCGCTGCCTTGTTAGTGAAGTTACTATGAAACACAAGGCCTACTTTCAGATTTATTTGATGGGGGCAATTCGTATTTGAGATTGCAAATCTTTTGTTTTTATTTATTTATTTATATTTTTAGGAATCAGGTTGTTTAAAATCATGCTAAATTCTTTTACTGGTTTGCATTTCAATTTTATTACCACCTTAAACGTGGACACAATATCATAGTTAATAGTATTGTCCTAGAACCATGTTTATGGAGTTTTATAATTTTCATGGCAGGATCCAGGTTATATAGCTACAGGCATATTACAGTCCCACATAGCTCTTTGGCTATTCTATTCTATTCGCTGCTCTGGATTTACATTGTCTATTAGTTTATCTCTCAATCTGTACTCACCAGTAAATCGCTAACCACATTCCTATTCTTACTTTTAAGGCAATAAATTATTTTTAGAGACTTAATGACAGAAGAGCTATGCTTCAGCAGGAAAGAGGCATGCTGCTTGTCTGCTATTAACAGAAA